TTGCGGAGGGATGGTGTTTTCTGAGGTACCCCAGCACAGATCCCCTTATCGGTCTTGTCAAACGTGAGCGTGTGCTCACGGCTCTGTAAGGAGCAGGACGTTAGCCTAAAAACTCTCAGGAGATTAAAAAACAAACTAGCAAACCTTTTGTGTACGCGTGTGGCACTATGGCTAGGGAAGAAGTCCTCCTGTGAATCCTTCTCCAGCTGACAGAGGAGAAGAATCCTAATCCTGAGAATGAGAGACCCTGTGCAAGAGCAGGTAGTCTCAAAACCCTGACGGTCTAGCTGGATTGGATGGGATATACATGCCTTCAGCCTCGCACAAAATCGAGCTGCCAAACAGGACAGTATCTTTGTGACCTCAAAACCTGAAATATATTCTTCCGTCTTGCAGATATCCAGAAAATATTACGCCAGAAAGTGAAGAGGTGGAGCCCAAACCAATGGTCATTGGCACCAACAACGTTTTTGAAGTTGGGTGTTGTATCCTTGCTGCGCCGCGAGACAGACTGTCTCATACGCTGTGCTTTCGGATCAGCACAAGGGGAAGCACGCGTGGGCTCTGTCAGGGGTTAAGCAGCCCAGGGCTATTTAAGGTGCAGGGTATTGGTTTGGAAAAGGCGTCAGAATTTACCTTTCGAAATAAAAGCAAAACATTTTACAGTTTTCTTTAACACGGACCCGTAGATTCTCAAGCAATGAAGGTGGGAGATAACAACGTCATCGAATCCAAAGGTAAGTCTTGGCTCATCGTCTTGGCCCTTGTGAGATTTTGCTCTTGTAGACGCTGGGAACAGCAGAGGGTTACATGGTGGTGTCTGGCTGTAGCTGAGGCCAAACCGCAGCTTGTCACAAAGCTGTGATTTTGCCACAGAACCCATGTGTGTTACTGCCTTGGCAGGAGCTGGGCTGGGCTGGGCTGGCTCTGGCTCGTGGCGCCAAGCAGCTTGTGATATTGACGTTTGGTGGTGCAGGGTTTAACCGCGCCGTGGGCACAACTCTCACAGGGATTCCTCTCTCTCTGCCAGCATTTGTCGGCAGGAACGTGATCCTGACGAGCGGCTGCATCATCGGGGCCTGCTGTAACATCAACACCTATGAGGTGATCCCCGAAAACACCGTCATCTACGGGGCCGACTGCCTCCGACGTGTCCAGACCGAGCGGCCGCAGGTGGGTGTGACACACAGGTGACACGCCGTCACTCTCCCGTGCTCTGCAGGCTGCCCTCGGGGCTGCTGCCTGACCTCCCCTGCCTCTGTTTTCCAGCCCCAGACGCTGCAGCTGGATTTCCTGATGAAGATCTTGCCAAACTACCATCACCTAAAGAAGACCATGAAGGCCACATCCACTCCTGTCAAGAGCTGAGCACCTTCTGCTGCCGGTGACTGACCGAGGGTTTCATCTGGTCCTGTGAAGCACTACGCGGCCCCAGGAAGTGGCCGGTCTCTGCGTCCCTCATTCCATTCTGAGAAAAAAAAAAAAAAAAGAGAGTCTTGCTTATTTGTGTGCTTTATTTATATTCTGCTGAGCATCTCAGACCAGCGTTGGATCTGTTGTCGCTTGTGCACTAACTCTATTGTACGTGCTGTATTTTGGGAATAAAGTGTCACCTGCTCTTCTGTCAAGGGGGGACCGCAGTCCTTTCTGGGCCAGGTGATGCTGCAGGGCTGCCATTCCCTCTCACACAAGTACCGAAATGGCTGCCTCGCCCTCGCCTTGGGCGGGTGTCGCTGCGGCCATCCCTCGGGGACAGCCTGGGCACTGCCTTCCCGCTCCTTCCCCAGCCTGCTGGCCAAGGGAGATGGACCCACACGGGGGGAGAGCCGGGCTCCTCGGAGGGAGGGGTGTCCTGGCCCCACACCCCCAAATCCGTGTGGATCATGGGGTGGGAAAGGCTCCAGGGCCAGTGCCGCCCTCTCTCCCCGGACCACAACGGCAGCCTCCTGCTTGGCCTCCCTCCCGGAGGGTCCGGAGCAGAGCTGAAGCTCCTCTGCTCGTCAGCCGTTCTGGTGAGCTTCGGACGTGTCCGTGCTTCCCAGCCGGCCCCTGAGATTCCCCAGGGATGTTGTTCACAACTTCCCTGTCTATCCTTGTACAACACAGCCCAGTGTTTTGTCTCTGTGCAGAAGGAAATGGATGTTGGAGCAGGAATTCCTGTAGGAAAAAGAGAGAGGAGAGAGCATTAGCAACAGCCTGCAGAGGAACCCCAGGTACCGGCTGGGCTGCAGGACGTGGGGTTTTGATTTGAGACCCGGGGTTTCAGGTGGGACAGGCCAAGGCACAAAAGCAGCGCAGCACCCACTGGAGCCGAGTGGATTTTCTCCCCAAGTTCAGCTGCAGGGGTACCAAAAATAAAAACCCACTGTTTTGGGGCTTTGCGATTCCAACTTGGGGTCCAGCGCTGCTGGGAAACTGCAAATCTTCCCCAAAGCTGACTCTACATAAGGGCTGCGAACATTGTCCCGGCCACCGCCGCCTCTCCAGCCCACCCAAGCAGCCCAAGCCAAAACGTTTTGTGGAGATGCCCACGGAGGGAGAAAACAAGGGGAGATGAAAAGATGAAACATCTCCCCTCTCCAGCTTCTCCCCTTGCCAAAAGATAAGGCAATCTTTTGCTGGGAATTTACCCCAAAAGCAAGAGGCTCCAGCAGATTTGGGTAACTGGATCGGTCCCCACACTTTAGCTTCCCCCTTGGGGTCACCTGCCCTCATACCAGACACTCACCGCTCCCCAAATCCAGCTGGCGCGGCCCGTTTCCATCTCCCTCCCAGCACGAGAGGTTCTGCTCTGTAAATCGCCGCTGCGGGAAGGCTGGAAACCCTCTGCTCAAAGCCAGCGGCAGGGCTGAGTCCGCCCAGGTGGCCGGCAGGGCACGCAGGCAGCTGCCCGCAGATCGGTTTTGGCCACTGAG